TTACCCAGCATGCATCAGAGCAGACTTGTCTGTTCTTGAAATTGACAGCTGTCCCAGCATGCACTCTGGCAGCAGCTTCCAGGTTAGTGCTCACAGAGCTCAGAGTATCAAGTTAAAACTTAATTCTGTTGCTGTTGTTCAATAAAAGTACGTTTTAAGATCATTTGAGGCGAGAACATTATACTTCTAAGCGTCACTATATGGTCCATTTACCGATTAATGCGTAATTTTAAAAGAATTTCCAAAGTTGTGAGGACCTCCGAGGCTCGTCTGCAGCAGCCCTCTCTCTGAATAGCCATGTGTGAAGGACCGCTGGCTATGATGGAGATTTTTTTGTTTTCTTTGGCAAAATGTTCATTTGCTCTGTGATCTGCGTGTTCATTATTATTCCCCCACCAAATGAAAAAATGAAGAATTTATTATTATCTAGAGCAGGGGTCACGAACATGGGGCCCGCGGGCACCAAGGGGCCCTCAAGGACCACAAGGGGTGCCCTTAGAGTCTTCTGAAAATAGAACAACTCAACAGTGAGCTACGTTTGAAATTTCACTGTATTCTGTTGCTCTTCTTTTTTTAATTGGGTTATAGAACATTTCATCATTTAATCATATATTTCAAAATGAAAATGTCTAAAAGAAAATTATAAATTTAAAGAAACGATAAAGATATGTATATAATATATGAAGTTTAGGGGAACATTGACCCTTGCCATTCATAGGTCAGTATTGGTAGCCCTTCCTGTGACTCAGTGCCCCTGAATTAGCCCTCAGCTGTAAAAAGGTTGGTGACCGCTGATCTAGAGACTATTAATAACAGGAGGAGAAATGCAGCTCCAGACGAGCCGGGTGTGTGGTGGCGTCACATTACGCTTCTGTTCCAATCGACCCAGATTTATGCTGCGTGCTCCCGTTCTCCCCGAGTCCAGACTTTCCTGTGTTCTTCTCAAGAACATCCTTGGCGAGTACACGAGTCCGTACTCGCGTTCTCGTGTATTGAGAAACGGCCAAAGTTTCTGCATGTAACCTGCACCAGCTGATCTTTCCATGCTGAGGAGAATACTTCAGAATCAGATTTATTTATGACCAAATAGGTTTGCATTTACAAGGGATATGACTTGGTATTGATGGTGCAGACAAATTATATATACACAGAATACAGAATCTGTAGCCATGTACAAAATAAAACATATATTATACTATATACAATATATAGCAGGGGTGGAACGGTACAAAAAACTCGGTTCGGTACCTACCTCGGTATGGACCCTACGGTTCGGTACGTTTTCGGTACACGGATATCTGGGTGGTGTCGTTTGATATG